CCTCTCCTACTAAATTATCATTTCCTGCTTGGTGATAAAATTGAGTAACGTATCGATAGATACTTGTTTGTACTGGACCATAATTTATGCTTTCTCCTTTGACTCTGAGATCATTTTTTGGTACTGATGATATCTATCTACCTATCTATCTATGTAATGGCTGTACCGGATATAAAGACGCGAAGACGTGATTTTATTGTATAAATTAATCTCTTTTCTATTCTTGTTGCTTATTCGCCCTATTTTCGAATCAAGAACAAAGAAACCTTTTATGTTGATAATATGGTGAAATATTATTCATTGAAAAGACAAGAAACCGGCAATTCCATGCCGAGGAATTTGCCCATGAGTGAATGATTCATAATGTTTTTTCCCTGCCGGCTCTTGATGACGGAAGAGTAGTGGATGCATGCATTACCTTCCTAGTCGTGATAGGATAGTTTACAGTCATTTGGGTGCAGTGATTGATATATTTGATATATTTTTAATCTTTGATACCCGTATTGATGAATCGAAGTCCAGATCTTTGGTCTTTGGAACATTTCCTCGCTTATTTCGTTCCGCCTCAATTCCGATCTTCAAATAATATCTTATCTCATCTGCTCGAGTATACAACACAACCATATGACTACTTGAACTCCTTCCAATTCATTCATAATAACCCCACGCAATAAAATCCACGACTCTTTCAGCTTCTGATTTCACAATACTTTTCCTTACTCACCGATTCCCCGAGTACAGCTACCTTTCATAGGCTGGTTACTATTGGAGGATTGCCTCGATACTACATTGTATGAGCCAAGCAAAAGTACGACACTTAATAGTACACCCAAATGGTACTTCTCGTTTTCGGGGGTTATGTTACAAAGTACTTTCATATTTCGCTGGACGTTGAGTTGTTGAATCGCCAAGACAGTAATCTTCGATAATAAATCTCAAATCTGCGTCCTAATATGAAAGCCAAGAGAAAAGTAACCTTCGGTATTGCATTGTTACGGGACGGACAGCGGATTGAGGGACGCCTTGTATACCTTTGCCAAGGCTTCATTATCATCAAACCAAACATCAGAAACGGAGGGGACGATATTGTCACGAAAAGGTCTTTATTTGCAGATAGATCTGTCCAACTGACAATCCACTCACCCATTATCTGAGCTCTATACAAACGGTCAATCCATCTTCCTGGCAACTGGTTCCCAATGTTACTTCTTCAACGGTACCGAGTACATCTAGACCTTTACCACCTAGACAATTGAACCATACGGAGAAATTATCTACTCTAAACATTATGCCAAGGAGATCTTGTGTGTGTAAGGTTAAGTAGAAGGTGTGAAGAACGCTAGAAAAGTTGAGTCACCAAAATGTTGCATTGTCAAAGGAGTACAAGGGCCTTTCATGCATGATGTGCATACAACAGAATTCTAGCCTTTTGACTTCCGCCGCCATGTCCGAAAATGCTTCTAAGCCCTGGTCACCCGAAGAAGAAAAGATACTGTTGATCATTTTCATCTGTCGGTTTTGAAAGAGTCACAGGTGCTTCACAATACCATGAAAACACAGCGAGTTACTACCGAGCTTACCTGTCAGTCAGTCAGTGCCTGTACTCTAGGACAAATGGAAAGGTAATGTCCCGATGGACACGGAACAATATTGTATCCATTGGACGACCCCTCATAGGGCAGACAAGGCAAAAATGTGTCCAGCGAAGATGTGGAATATTGATGATGGACATGTCTCTAAGCCTTCCATCAATAATATCCTTGAGGTATCTTGCTCCTCACATATCTCAACAAGTCGCTACTCAATTCTAATACATTTAGATTCATCCAAGAGACCCTGCGCATGAAGCACCTACAGCCATTGTGATACTAAAGTCACTCACTCAATTTGGAACTCTTTCGATCTTCCTATTTTGTCTATTCAAAAAGTAAACGGGTACAACTAATCCACAACATTAGTGAGTTTTCTCGAAAATCACTCAAATGTAAGCCTCATTTGTTGTCACAACGCGGGACCATCAATGTGCCAAAATTTAGCAAAACCCGCTCGTCCATACAATTTAGTACTTCTACGGAAACCGACAGCTATTTGCAGTTTATGTATTTGACTTCAAAATCGCATTTTTGGCAAATGAGGTATTACAAAATCGTTCTATACTAAGAGATTAACATTTTTCCCTTTACCCCTTGCGCATACCCATTACTCAACACATGTTTTTGCTAATTTAAGGAGTTTTAGAAGATTTTGAGGCTTTTTGATCTTACGATACTTACACAAATATTCATCCTTCGGCCCCGAAGTCCCTTTCCCCGCATTATGATGGGACGACGGTTGGACATGGGACTCAATATGGTTAGTTGATTGTCAAACACCCTTGAATACCGCCGATAGCGTATTAAATATGCACGTCCCATGGCGGGGTTAATCAACCACAACCCCGCTCGCTGTACGGTCGCAGTGTTATGGTGGAAAGGAGACATCAAGTGAAAAACATGAAGAGTTAAATTTCAAGACCTTTGATGTACACATACCAACTATAAGATGAGTTGGAACTGTGCAGAACAACATTCAATCCTTCAAGCTATTCCATCCAACAGATTGGTGACTGCATAACTCGACACTCCGAACACCACGCGCCTTTTCTTATGACTTGTCAGCTTTCATTCCGGAGCAATCATTAAAGCTCGTGGGCAATTATCTTACCTAGACAATCCTCAAGTCGTTTGGTCAAAGTCTTCATTTCATTGCAATCTCAATATATTTCCAGTCATTATCTCTAACCACCAATGCCTAGGCTCAGCATCATGACCAAGTACTGACGCCAATGTGTCATGTGTAACCACATATGGAGTTCCATACTGCTATTTAAGCGATTTCTTCTTCCGAGCCTTGGGAAATTCCTCCAATTCTGGAACAATGAAAGCCACATTCATCATCTAAAGTCAAATTATCCATTTGATCACAACCCATTCAATACTCATTGAATTATTCCGTCATATTATTATTATTTCTTGGCTTTCCTATCATTCTTTGAATTCTTCAAACAAGCTTTCTTCCCTAGGAGAATCTAGAGAATCTGGACATTCTAGAATACTGTACCTGCACGATCCTGCATGAATCCGAATGTAGTCAAATCGTACATGCAGAGGGAAGTTTCGGATCTTATTCTGCTAAACGCGCAATTCTCAACATCACCTAAGACAAGTGAGAATACGAGTTTCGAATATTGCCGTACTTTATATTAACACTATACAGATCTTTATCAACTAAGGTCTCAGCTCGACAATCTACAGTAGTTCTTACATTATCAAATGTCCGTACAACATTTCATCCGTACTCGGTTTGAAAGCCTCATGGAGAAATATTACGAAGCGGTCAACCGAAGTAACCTTAGCCTCGCTAGGAAATCCCCATCTTGAATTCTACGCCGCAAATGTTTGCAAGCAAAAACTTTTATATCCAATAAAAGCAAAAGGATTACGCATGCCCAGATTTCGCAATGAGGCATTTACGCCGACCGCATTTCCAAAATAGTTGATCCTGCCCGCCATACCTTCCATCTTAGCTAATTCATTTTTATCCTTCTCACTAATTAGGATACCTTTGGCTGATGGCGGTAAATATCCACAAACCTATCCGGAATTCTATCTTTCCTGGTATGCGAGATATGTGCATAAACTTTATGCAGGTTTATGCACAAAAGTCGCGTGCGCCGACACTTTCGGTGGTGATTTCTGATATTGATCCGATAATCACCTGTTCTTGTGGTGAAAAAAAGAATATGTGTGAAGTCTTTTTTGGAAAAAGGCTTTTCAAGTGGTGAAAAAGTGTACCTGAATTATGTCAGGCTAGAAAAATTTCGTTAATTTTGAAAATTATGCATTTCACCCCTATCCGCAATATCAAGTGTGTTTTAGAGGAACTATCAGCATGGAAAGTTCCTTTCAACTAGATTATCCGTAATGTAATGGCCCGAGACTGGACAATTGCAGGATGACTCGTGGGGTTTATTAATGAACCTCGGGTCGTTGCTGCTATGCTATGCTTGGACTTACGATTGCTTCATGTATATGCACATGCTTTTGTCGTTTACATCTACATGTGTTATGCTTTGCAGGATGTCATGGGGCTTGTGTAACATGGATAAGGTTGGGTTTGAGCTGAAATGTTCATTGCTGATTTGAAGCATGGGGGTGCGGGCGGGGTTTGATTTAATGAATTGCTACGTGGTTTGAGTTTCCCTAAGCAGTTCTTGCTCCGTCTACGTTTTTGGCATTTATATACAGCTCCTTGCGCGCTTGTTCCCGTTTATGTCCTCATAAATCTTTTGTACATCTCAACATTTAACATCCATCAATATTTTCTTTCTAACGAGGAAGTCAGTAAGCCTTCTACTTTCAAGCGGAAAGTCTTTTCCTCCCAAGAGTCAAGTGGTATTGAAGTCAACTCTCACTTCTCTCTCGTCTTGCAAATATCCACGCACGCGTCCGCCTTGAACTTAACACGAGCATATCTAGACTTCCCCACAGTCATATTTTGTACTCATTAGCCTTCACTATCTTCCATATCAAGGAAGTCAACACTGCTTTCAACAACTAATTACAAATTGGTTGCACATCTAGAATTTAGATATTCATTAACTTTTATATTACTTCCCTCTACTTGATGTCATTCTGCTCATAGAAATCCAAGTATTTCTCCGTCCCTGCAATATCTTTATTAGTGAACAGCGGACACTAGATAGCAATGCGATATCTAGTGAGTAGTACTTCTATTGAGAAAAGAAGAGATCGGTGAATTCAACAACTTTCGGCCAAAAAGGGTTATTGTGTTTTTGAATCATTCATTTCATTAGTACTAATGAAATCAAAATAGTTCATTGAATCTCTGCTCAAACAATTCATAAACTCTTCTACTTTACGAAATATCTATCCCATGAAATCTCTCCCCCCCTAAATCCACAACCTCCACCGCAAAAACGAAAAGCAAAAACAACAAAATGTCCTCGGTGAGACTCGAACTCACGACCTTTGGATGGCCTAGTAATTGTTAACAACTACCTCACATTATATAGATAAATATGAGACCAACGCTCTAACCAACTGAGCCACGAAGACGTTGCTTTTATTGATGCGGCCCAGCTTTCCATTTGAAAGTATGAGGAAATGATTTTTGTGCGTTGGTCACTGGTTGAAGAGTTTTTTTTTTGGTGTGGGGTTGCTGGATGTTGGATATTGGGTGTTGGATCAGCCCCCCTTTTGACCCACCCGAATTTCGTGATAAGATAGAGTAATATATGCGGAGTAATGTACTTCGTACCGGTACATGGAAACCGATAGAGTATAAATAAGATTTAACATCATGATCAATATATACAATATACACAAAAAAGAGTATCGCTGGTATCACTCATTAGGTACTTATATACGAGAGATAGGAGAACCTCTAATTTCAGCTTTGTATTACTGCGAAAAAGAAAGAGAGAGGGGATTAGCTGGTTCTCTCAGATTCTTTCATGTAGGGCCAATGAGCCAAGGATTGAATTGAATCTCTACATATCCAGTAGTCTGTCTGTCTGTCTGTCTATTTATTGAGAAAATGAATTAACATTTCTTCAGACGGATATTCTGGTAATGATAGTGATGAATTTGGGTTGAGGGGTTGGTGCGGGAAGGGAGGGAGAGGTAGGAGTTTGAGGGAGAGGAAGAGGGGTGGAATGAATGGAATGGAATGGGGTGAGGGGAGGTGGTTGTTGAGATTTAGATGAGATTATGATGTAAGATTTTATTAGATTTGTTTTTTAGGGTGGTTGGTGAATGGTGGATGGGAGATGGTATGGTTGATGGATGGGTGTTGGGTATTTGATGGGATGGGATGAGATGAGATGGAATTTATAATTCGTAAGGGGATGTAGATATAGTTGTTGGGTTTCTTTATAAATGATGGATGGATGAATAGATGATTTATAAGGGGAAGAGGGAGGGGGAGGAAAAAAGCAATGAGGATTCTTGAGGGGAGGAGGGTTATAAGATTTATTTTGCTAGGAGATGGATCGAGTTGTAGATCTTTTTATGTAGCCTTTCACAGGAGACTATTTTTATTTTAACGTTATTTTATTATCTTGTTATTATTATTATTATTCTTATCATCATCATCACCCCAAATCATTCTCGAGCTTGATATAATGAACATCTATCTATCGATTAATATAACTTTTCTCTTCATTTCGTTTTATAAAAATAATCGATGGTGGTGTAGTGAAAATATATGCTAGTTTTTTAAAGGTTTTTGATAAGAAGAAAAGGGAAAAGGTATATATAGTAAATAGCTTTTTTTTTTAAAATATTTAAAGGACTAATAGATATAATGAATATTTTAGATTTGTTATTTAGAGTATGAAATTTGAAGGGTGAAGTTTGAAGGGTGAAGTTTGAAGAGGAAGATTAAGACATGAAAAGGGATGGAGAGGAATTTATATAGATTCAGGAATCATAATCATAAGGACGAGAGTGAAGATTTAAAGACTTTGAAAGAAAGTAAAAAAGGGAACACGAGAAAAGAAGAGAGAAGCGGAGAGAGTATTGTATATCTCATTCTTCTTTTCTATATCACTATAACATACTAAGATTAAATCGATTGGATAATTCATCTTTCTTGATGATGAAGATGATGAAGATGATTGTGAAGATAATAATAACAACACCAAGTAAAATTAATAATAATCCGATCCGATAGATTATAATATCATATCATATCATATCATTTATACCCCTCTATTTATACCACCCTCTTCATTTCTATCCTCCATTCTCCATTCGCCATTCTCTATTCTCCACCCCTACACATAACATAATATAACATACCAATATAATACACATATACAAAAGAACACTTCAAAACATTCAAGAAACCAAGACCAATCTCAAATTAATTCTCGAAATCCCTCAAGAGCACAAACAACAATGTGCCCCCTCTGAAAAAAGTATCCGGATCAGGAGATGAATCGATGTATCGAGAGGACAATAAATATAACATGGAATATAAAGTTGAAGATATAATAAAGGGTAATATTATCTATTATCTATCAAGTATAAAAGTATAGGATAGGTACTAAACACAACGTAAGATCCTACAAACCAAGTGTAGAAGCAGGAGAAACAACTGTCTAGTCAAGCTCCTTGTATGTGTACTATAATCCATCCATATCCATCTATACATACATCTCTCGATACAAAAACCGAATGAATATATTCATTCGCAAGAAAGAGTGAAGCGAAGATATGTTGCAAAATTTTGTACGATCCATCCCACTACATCTTTTTCCAACCCAAGCGAATGCAAGCCGGAAATAGTAAGAATTAAGGTCAAGCAAAATCTCAGTCTAAGTATTAACGATTGAACAACCGAGTCTGTTCGATTGTGCGAGTCGAGTCGAGTTGAGAAAAAGAAAGGCTTGGCGAAATAAGGCCATTGAAGAAATCCACCGCATTCTACGTGTGCGCTATATGGACCCATCAGTGAAGGTTTCCGAGTCCCATTGGACGAAAGACGAGTTTTGTCCAGTACTATCATCGAACGGAAGAACCTTCGGACTGGATTTGATGATATCATGAGACGTATAGAGAGAGGATGACATTTCTGCCCATCCATGCTCAATTCTCAGAGTTCTCTTAGACAAACTCACTCCAAAAAGGCCGATTTCCAAACTTCGCATGTTGGCAATCATGTGTTTTCCAAACCTCTTTTACTCAACAACCTTTTCCTTAGGAAACCCTTTCAAGTTCTGCCCCAAATGACTTGCAGCGATACTACTCGCGGCTCTCTCACTTCTCCTTCTATTCGTACCACTGATCCTCTCACTTCCATTCACACTTCCACTTCCATTCTTGCTTCCACTTCCATTCTTGCTTCCACTTCCAATTCCGCTTACACTCTCAGCGCTCCTCTTATCCTTCATCATACCCCTCGCACTTTGTCCCTCACTCCCTCTACTCCTCCTGCCACTAACAGAATGTTTCTTACTTCCACTACTTCCACTACTTTTACTACTCCTCATTTCGCTAACCAAACTCGACATCCATGACACCGTATCCCTCTCCCAAGTATTTTTGCTACTCTTACTACTCTTACTCCCTAGACAACTTCCTCCCCCTCTCTGTCTATCCACCCTCCCAATTTTCAGTTTCCTTAATACCCTCCTAATAGCTCCTATCGGTTCACATAGATAAAAGATCCCCATATCGTCAAACAATGAAATCCATTCCACATTACATAATTCAAGTAGTGGTTTACATAAAACAAGAATGCCGAGATCATCGAGAAGATTGAGGAATGCAAGAGCGATAGGTGGTGCTTGACTGGAAATGAGTGTGGAAGCTCTTGATACGGTTGCTGGGGAGGAAGTATTGTAAGGAGGAGAAGGAGGGAGACGAGTGGGAGCGGAAGGATGACGGGATGTTGGGCTCGTGGTGGAGGGAAATGGCGCGGAAGATCGGGAGTGCGATGCAGGTTTATTGGATGTATTACGAGTGGAGTGGGATGGAGAACGGGAATGGTGGGATTGATGTGGTCGATGTTGAGTTTGATTAGTAAGTTGTGGTTTGCCTAACGAGTCGACACTGATATTGGTGGTTGGAGAACGGAGAGTGGATGCCAGTGAGGGACTACGCGTGGAGGCATCATGGGTTCGTGTCCGTGTACGTCGTCTATGTTCATGTTCTGGCTGGAGATAGAGTGACGGTGGAGGTGACATTATGCTTGGCTTAAGCCTGGGTGTCTGAGGTATTGAATGGATTGTCTTGTAAAGCTGTTTCGTTGTTGCGGTGTAAATTGGATTTAAAAAGAGTTGTGATTGAATTAAAAAGATATGACGAAGTGACCATGCAATAAGATTGAATAAAAATGATAATAAAAATGCAATCGAATCAAACACAGGCAAGCAAGCAAGCTGGCAAGCAATCAAGCAAGTAGAAAAGAGTGAAGTGAAGAAAAATGGATAAAAAGGATAAAAATAAACCTATCAACTCAAATGCATGCAAAGTAACAGTCGAGTGAAAACTATTCAATGAAAAAAAGGAGATTTCTCGACCTTTGAAACTCGAGAAACTATATATTACTCCTCGACCGCCTCGTTGAGAATTTCAATGTTACCATCGAAACACTTCATCATTTCCATCACCTTTTCAAGAAGGAGGGATCAAAGGAGGGATCCAAAAGCAAGACATTGAGGCTCTATTTAGAAGATCATGGAAACGTAACTATTCACCGTTCGTTTTGTTTGATTCTCATGAGGCGTATCTCTGCCTAAACAGCTGTGGCTTTTTCTCCCAATAGCTGGATTCTGTTACTGGCGACTTCGCTGGCAATCTGACCCATCTAGACTTTTCCATTTATGAACATACCCACCTTGTTCACGAGTACGAAACTAATAACATTTGTCACCTCATTCCATTCTCATTTGATAGATTTCTCGTTCATAAAATGGTTTTCTGATTGCACACCGTACAATGAGAACATAAAATGTGGGGGTGAAGAATTTAGAATGATTGGCGACACGTCTAGTCCATATATAGATTGAGGGCGGGAAAATGTCGTGTACCTATCGGCTTTTCTTCCTATCTGAAACGAGTTGCACTCAGGCATTTATATAGCCTTATGGAGTAAAAAAATGGAGAAGAAATGGGGAAACTTATGGAGACAAACAGGCGAAATCTGATTCCCTCAGAAAGAACATGGATGGCTAAAGGGCTTGTGACGTGTCAGGGGGGTGTTTTGGGTATGGTAAGAGAAGCCAAGAGAGAGCCCTGAAGATCCTTTATGCTTCTTTCGTTCTTTCGGTACTTTTAGGGATTGAGGTCGCACGGTTGGGCAAAGCGGAAACAGGATTGACGGATTTATTGTTTGAAAATTAATATCTGGAGATGGTAAAAGGAGATCTTCCGGTAGATGTTTAGTAGAGTGACATTCCTATGCAGCATTCGTCTGTCTTGTGATGAGAAGAAAAAAGAGGAGAGGGGAAAGAGGAGAAGAAGGAGAAGGAGGAGGAGAAGGAGAAGAAGGAGAAGAAGGGGGAGAAAAAAAAAGGTGAAGGAAGGAAGGATGACCAGAAAGAAATAAA